TTGCGGCCCGCTTTTGTCTTTACATTTTAAATTCCAAGTAATGCTACTTGTTAAATTGGCCGGCACCTCATTCCACGCCATGAAGCAGACGCTCCATCAACGCCATTTAAATGAAGATAAGACGAAGGGGATTTAAATTTAAGTCTCATATTATTATTTCATTCCCTTTAAAAATGGCGTTACGTGAAAAAGTTAAGAGAATTGTATGTACCAGCTGGATATTTACTGGTAACGGGATAACGTAAGAATAGCATAATTATTTTTATGACATTCGCAGACACCCCATAGAAGGGAAAATTTTATAACATTACATCTTTCCGGGAAAGAAACCTGCGTATTTAATTAATCCAAATCAACAAACGCCAATTTAACTTGAACATTCAACGTAAAGTCTCCTAATATATTACAGATATATATTGTTATTCAACCATAACCGCGGATAATATCAATGCAACAGCGACTTGCTTGATGTGAGGTGTAGAACACCTTCGTGGAATGCCAGTGTACTCCAATGGGCACTCCTTTCGAGTCTTGTTGTCACGTAGCCAAAGACATGCACCCCCTTCATCACCATGAACAAGGAAGGGTTTATGATATCAGCATAATTGTTACATGCCTGTGATGTTGGTAACAGTGATCATGTAGGAGGACATGTTGATTTCTAGAAATACATTTTGATTACTTTAATTCAGGCGTGTTTCGTGTAATGGAATATATAATTAACCATGTTGTAGTTTTGAAACAGATTCCGATTAAATGTAGTACAGCAGGCACTGCTTTAGTACGAGGGGCGTGATTTTAGTGGGATTTACGGTTTAAAGCCCCTGAAATGAACTTAGCGAATTACAATCTGAGCACAGGGCTTAGATTCCTAGCAATGCCTAAGTTATGTAACGAATAAAGTAGGATGCTCTGTGAGAAGTAACAACACACATTCCTGGATATTATCACGTAGGGCCGATAATCTATTAAACCAAAAAAGCTACGACTTTATCTGTTATCTTCTAGTAAAGCACTTATAAGGGATCGGGGAACTTTACCTTCAGCAAATGTCTAGGAAATGTACAACACGGCTTGCGAGTCATAATGTTTGCAGTTTGGAGGAGTGCAGTGGCGAGGAAACTGAATAATACAACACGTGATGTACGACGAAGTTCCGGCTTCTACCAGGTGCACTGACGCCGGTAGAATGTAACACTTTCCTCTCAAAGGACACTTCAGTTTCCATGCTTCTTATAGCCCGACATGCGACAATATGATTCACGGAGCAGAGTCCATGATAATCTAATATTCGTTCAGATGGGTAAGAAATTCGCAACGTTTTATAGAACCCTCTGCCATGTTTCATTACACTGTACACAAGAACCTACCACTGGTCGTTATCCTGAGCCAGATTAATCCAGTCCATAACCTGTGGTCTTCATGCAGTAAAAATTACCGACATTTTGTTTCTCCCAATCTGTCCTTCATGACACTTCACACCAACACGAGCTCAAACAGTGAAGTGTGCCACTGTGTTATTTTACCCCATTCTTAATTACTTCGTCTCTATTAGGCCCAAATATTTTCCTGCATTTCTTTGGAAATATGCAGAATCTCCTTCAGAGTGAAAAACCAGAATTTATGCCCACATAAAATACAGGTACCACATAAAACAACATGCAAATTATTAAATTATTATTCAGTCTTAAGCCTTTTTTTAGATATGGCATTGAAAGATGAACCATTTTTAGGAGCCATTTATATTTATTTGTGGTTTATTTAACAACCCTATCAGCAGGTAAGATAGTTTACAGTCGAATAATAAGGCAATAAATAAATAATAAACCGGAAAGAATATGGAAGACGTCATGACCTGTTTCAAGATACCATCTCGTAATTTGCATAGACGGACTGAGAACAAGAGCCGAGATCTGAACCCGAGACAGATGAAATAAGAAGGAGGAATTCTAACAACCAGGTAGTGTGACTATTCGCTGCAACATCAACTAGAAGACATTTCACGACAATTGAAAAATTAAAATTTTAACAGGATTTGTCGGATTGTTCCTTGCTCTTGAAGAGACGAGATGTGTGAGGCTGTCACACCTGGTTTACAGCTTATCACGAAAACAAACGCAGGACGCTGGAATTGGTCCTGACTTCCAGTACCTGAAAGTCAGGAAGTCAGGCATGATAAAAGACGAAAGACGTGAAAACAGAATAAGACGAAACAGACGAAGAAGAAGACTTATGAATAAATGTGTGCTAGGCTCCAAGTGTTTCTTTTTCTCCCCGCCTGGATCGTAACTCCGTTGCCTACAGGTGACTGAATTAAGTAACATTACTCACTTCTGCACTCCGTCGGTTTGCTTACTGCATACGCGGCACTGAAGTAAAATTGATCAGCTAACAAAGAAATAAAGACACATCATCATTTCCATTTCCTGTACCGTATTCATGAAACACCGAAAGACTAGAATCCACCTGTAATGCCAATGGATAATCGCAGAATTATAATAGATTTTGTGCGGTTTCCAGGCTGCTTGTCCGTAGAGGCTAACCTGTTGCCTTAAAACCCAATATAATTTTAGTACCACCTGCTTTAGTAATCAATAGTGTTATTTCGCTTGCCCACAGAGCGTATGAGCATCGTGTGAGTTACAGAATAAACAGCAATTATTTCCCTAAACAACATTAACCATTATCTTTGTAATACTGAAATGTGTTTTCTTTGAGGTTCGGACTGATTATTATTTAGATGGGCTTCTACATCAAAGGACTATACAGAGTAGAACAATGTACTCTGATGTGGATTTACATAAATTCGAAACGTGTTCTTCATGCACAAAGCAACGGCCTCAATTATATTGTGTGTAAATATGATCATGCTTCAGATATAAACCACAATGCGCAGTTAAAATGACTATAATTTTGATTTAACTCAATGGCGACAAGAATTATGCTGAAAAGAACAGTTGCAGAGAAATGTGAAAATCTCATTTAAATATACATATTTTGTTACGAACCAAATTTTAATTAAGAAACTGAACTGCTGTGTTTTGAATTTAACGCTGTGGAACGATGAAAAACATCTAAAAAAAATACACCGACCCAGTAAACAACAATGTTCGTTGTGACCGTCGAGAAAACTTCAAATCCCATTATTAAAACAATGTAACAGTTCGATTTGAGCTTCTTGAAATGGAGAGGTTTCACTGGATCGACAAATATAAAAAAAATGTGACAATCGTCCGCCAACTTTCATTATACTACTGGATATCTCAAATGTAACTGAAATCTTTTAAGTACTTTCGATTATGAAATATGATAACGGACAGATATTCCATAAATGCGCAATTTTATCCACTTTGTGCAAACGAAACTCACAAATATGCATTGATGAACAAGGATTTTGATGTTCTCGCGGTGGTGAGTATGAAGATAGCTGTCCTCATAGCCCTGATAAAGGCAGAAATCACTTCTGAAAAGTCGCGAATCTTCTGCCTGATTGCACGACGCCACAACTCAGAAGACAGCCATCTTTATGTTACTCTTAAATTTAAGTCATGTAAGAAGTTACGTAGAAATTTAGTGACATTTATTAATATTTTTTATGTTATTCATCTTCAAGATATCTTCTATAGCCAATTGTGCTCCAAAATCAACCATTTTCATCTTAAACAAAAATCAGCTCGCTTCGTTGTGTGTTTAAAACAGGAGGAACGCTGATTATACTAAAAGACAAAAGCACAGCGAAACTGCGTATAAACCAGTCGGTCGCTAAATGCCGTTATTGTCCACTGCGTGACGTGAGGTATCCGCGTGCCCCAAATTCGGGCCTGTCGACTCGCTTTGTATTGTATTCAACCTCTGATGATGATTGATAACTGCTCTCATTTACAAAGATAATGAAAGCTAATTTTAAAAAAGTAATTTTTTACCGTTTAATGCCACGTCTATAAATTAATTAATTAGAGCTGTCAAATGCAAAACGTTATAATTAATATCAGTGCGGTTACAATCAGATATTTGTTACCCGAAACGTTTCAGCAATGTCGGCTGACGTATTTTAATTATCTTACGAAAACTATTGATTACAACGTACATTTTGTCCAACTACAGAATTAGGATAGCAGCAACTATTATAAAACTCGAAATTATTAATAAATAAAGTGTTATATATATTGTAATGAATAATCTTCTTGATGATGGCTTGTCAAAGTCGAAACACGTTGCGCAACACAAACATTTGATTATAACTGCTTTAACACTGATTACACAACGGAGCTTTTAATTAACTTATAAATAGAAAAAGCTGTTTGTGAAAGAATAAAAAAATGTATGACTTAGTTTATAATTATTATACACCAATACATCGTGTTTGGGAGGAATATAAGCTGGGTGGGACATGTAGAAAAACCTTAAGAAGGAAACCATTTGAGAGAACTAGGCGCAGATGGATAACATTGAAATGTAGGCCTGCATTCAGCCCACTCAGGATAGAGTCCAGTGCCGGGCCCTTGTGAACACGAGAAAAATTAATAGCTGAGGGACTTTTAAGAAACTTCACTGAATGTAAAAGTTGGTTACTTACGAAGGAATCAAAGTTATAAATTAAATTTTAACAACCTTCGAACTTTATGTCTTCCAAGGCGTCATTTCTAACGTTCATGATGACATTACATGCTGTAAGTTCCTACCTGTTGAGGAGCAGGGTGTCGACGAGGTCCTGAGCCTGTTCGCTTCGTATACTCGCCAGATGTCCACCGCGTCTGCTGCATTCCGTTTCAGCCTGTTGCCAAGACAGACTCAAGTCCTCCACAGCTGCGACGCAAAACTGTCGTATCGACACCCACCCGAAGCCACACTGTTCCACCACCTCGGCGATTGGTTCAGCGTGGTACCACAGTTTCAGCGCTGGAAGCTGCGACAACGCGTCGTGTCCGCTCAGCTGAGGACCACCCTGGTGGACCACAACCTTCAACATGACACTGTTCCCCCGAGAAGTGACTCTGACGTCGCGTCTTGGATCTCCTTTCTTAGTGCAGTGCGTCCAAGAGGATACACCGTCCCAGAGCTGGGTCAGCAATCCAGGACACGGAGGATCAGAGTCAACGTATGTGAGCGGCGTATTTTGAGAATCTGGCACAGAAATATGACCCTGAGAGGATATCGCATGACGTCCAGGGTTCTCCGAGGCCAGATGTCCCTCTCCTGTCTGAAGATGCAGCGACACGCGATTACCGTACGGTAAATGAATTTGAAAATTGCAGTGAAGTCCAGCTGTAGGCCTGAGGGTAAGAGTGTCGTTTCTCGCAGTGAGAGTTACGTTGTAACAGTGATCGACCTGACGATATGTGAACGAAAAGATGGGATTTTCGTGGAGATGTAGCGAAGGTGTTACTGAAGATGATGATGGAGCTGGAAAGTACAATCTACGACCAGAAGGGGGAAGTTCTTCCAGTTTTCCACACAATTTCTGGTGGCGATTTCTCGCTGTTCTCGAATTAGCTGCAATTTGTTGGGTAGTGGAAGAGTTTCCGTGAGGAAAAGGTGATGACGAGAACTGAAGAAAGCCCCCTGCAGAGCACGGAACGTTCAGACGCGTCAGTTCGACGACCAGACCACGGCGGTCAGAATCGACGTCGGCGGAACTGGTGAAAAACAGCTGGCAGTCTTTTGTTTGATGAGGTAACGCTCTCCACGAGACGTTCCCACGAGTCGGCCATAGATGGAGCTGACAGTCTGTGAACAGAGATATGTGGTTCATTTAACATTTACGTTCTGCCTACATACAACGATCAGGAAGGCAAAAACATTCTGAACTTCAAATTCTGCCCGCTCATCTTGCTTGGGGCATTCCGTGGTTTTTCTCAGTCCCTCCAGGAAAATTCCGGGATAGTAATTTAAATTATACCGCGACCTCTTCCTTCCACATCCTTTCCAATTCATTATTCACTATCATTTTCTCAGTCGACGCTATATGGTCGGAGATACTGAACAAGTGTCATTAAATAAACTATTAATAAAATATATGAATTGTGTATTTATTATTAAGATGGCTATATAATTTAGTAAACCAGACAAAAAGGTACAAGAAGCCAGAAGTCAGACATATATATTCTCGCGGTCGTAAAAACCTAAAATCTCACTGTATATAATTATTTTAAACTGATAACTGCGATTTAAAAATAAATTATTCAAACGTCCGTGAGGTGTGTAAGAACTTAAATATCTGTAATTTCATAAAGAAATAAACTACTTCTGCAGTTATTCGTGACAGAATTTGGGCACTCGTCGTTCGATTGAGTATTGGACATCCTTTCCTCCAGCAAACGATGACTTTTTGTTTTCAGACATCTGTCGGTCGATAAATGAACTAATCATTCTTGGGGCTTTCCCCTGCGACAATGGCCTTTTGGTCAATACGAACAACGGGAATCCTTTCGTCTGTTTTTTTATTCCTATTTTCACTGTCGTACTATTTCATTTGTTACACTTTCTTTACTGAATCATGATACAGAGTCTGATTGCACGTGTCCACCTTCCGGAAAGCATCGATTCAGTTAGTGTGTCACTCAATATTGTGTTCAAGTGCTTCTGGACCAATTTCGTCCAGGCTCTTAAAATGCTTCGATTATTAGTTGCATGAAGGAGGTATTTACACTGCGGAGGTTACACACAAACAATGGGGTGAGAGTGATTATAAATTGTTTGATTCTTGGGTTATGTAACGACGGTGATTCAATTGTAGAGCTCATAAACCGTCAGTGGGATGGAAGTATGGTTATGAATTGCCTCAATATTTCTTATAACGACCTTGTTCGAACTGTAGAGATTAGCGTGGAGATACGAGGAATGGGAGTGTTATTATGAATTGTAATAATGATATAGGAAGAATAATTGCGCTGTATTTGTGGATAATACAGAATTCACCTTCTAGAGGTGACATAAACCACAAATGTATCTCAGACATGACAGTCGGCACAGCAAAGAGTATTTCGGGAACATTTCACTCGCCCAGTCATCAGACATTAAATGGAATCAGAACTGAGTGGAATAACAGCAAAGAAATATATATATTTATGAATAATATATAGCAAATCTAAAACTTCTTGACGATGGTGAAGAGTCAATTGAATAAAAATTTACTTGGATATTATCCATCGTCTAGTAAATATAAAACGTAAAACGACGTTTCGGAGATGGGACTCTATCTCCGTCTTCAGGTTAATACACAGTTGGGCATCCCATCTCCGAAACGTCGTTTTACGTTTTATATTTACTAGACGATGGATAATATCCAAGTAAATTTTTATTCAATAATATATAGGTTTAGTTAATATCACAAAATTTTGATGTTCACAGTTTTTCATTAATTCTTATTTCACTACATAGCAACAAAATGCAGATTTCTTTGCTCATATGAATTCTTGACTCTTCTCAAACTACCCCTCTACCCCCCCCCCCATCACCACAGCGTGAGGTAAACACATATTGCAGGAAATTGCATAGTTTTAGGGCGGAAATTGGGAAGGAGCACTCCGCCGTGGGAAAATTACCCCTCGGTACGTAACATAACCTAATTCGCTTCAGATAACCCTACAAGCGGAATTTTATTTGACAGGAAACAAAAATTCTATTCCACGAATGGTTTTTTCACTGCCTCAAGTAAATAATCTATACAATTCTGTGCAGTTCAGACTTACGGAAGGGTCAAGTTGCAAGAGGTCAACGACCATGGGTCAACGAATAACGACTGACTTCACAAGTCAACACAAGTTTTCCTCGTTATTTATCCTCTGGGTTACGACGCCATGTGGACTCACAGGGAGACATCAATGTTTCGGAGGAATACAATGCCTCCTTCTTCAAGGCCTTACACTAAAACAATTTCTTAAGTTACGTAACGTGGATAGTTTATTCCGAGATTCCAAATGACTCAAGACAAAGACCACATGCACTGTAAGACAGATAATACTGTTTTAATTTTGATGAAGCTGTTTGTTTATCTCCTTCAGGTGACAGAAGACAACACTCCTCCCACCGAAAATCTTTACAGTGGGTACCGGACCTGAAATGGCCTCCATCTGGTGCTGACATAAAGAATAACTGGAGCTTAGATTCCACGTGGCACAACGTTTGATCGAAATGACAGGAAGAGCGACCTGTTTGCCTCAACACCTCTGATGAGCCTGATAACCCTGTTGCAGTAATTACTTCTTCACGTTCGAAACACGCTGCACCTGGTCTCACATCGCTTAGCTGACAACGTATGAAATTTTACGTCGGTAACAGTTGCGAACATCAGCACTGTAATGCAGTTTCCTGTCTCTGTGGCCCCATCCTCTTAATCCATCATGTCGTGACATCTTGCAAGTTGCAGAAATTGCGACCTGTGCAGAACTCGTTCCACAAGAATTTTGAACGTTCATCGCCATCAGCTGGCTCAATCGAACACAAAGCCTCGATTTCCCACAAACAACTGGACTAGCGTGAAATGTGCATCACGAATTTCAAAATGACAATTTTAAAATATTCACTCTTT